GTTAGACCTCACCTTTATTTATCTACCTCTATATCTGCATATGATGATTTTAATATGACTGCAGTGTTACTAGTTACTGTGCCACATCCCAGCATAATCCATGCAGGTAGTCTGAGCCACATTTGCAACAGACTTTACAGCTAACAGATCGTTATGAGGAACAGTTTCACCAACCGGTTTTGCTTTTGGACTTGAAATGCCAGTTGTTATTGTCAGAATATATTTAAATTGAATTTATGTCCAGTAGCAAGTATACAGAATTTGACCGGTTTACAGAGGACAGTTTGCACATGCGGTTTTGTTTTCACATCCAGGATGAAGTCTTGCTTCCCAGACTTCAGTATGTTGATAAAGTTTGTGCATAAGAAGCCGGATAAGTTAAAAGAACTCAGTGCTGTTATTTCACATACTTCATCCATCATTGTGCACATAAACACACAATGCACACATATGGGAAGGGAGGTCACAGCCAGCATGCTGTTTAGTTCATTTCGCAGCAGCTCGGCCTCATTTGCAGGTGATTTAACCAAAATAAAAACAATGGATGTGATGTTTAATGGAACTTTTTTTCATTAAAGACTGCAGATTTATCAATGTGTGTCCTCCTGCCTTCCAAAGTCATTCATTTACAGGTAAATGCAAACAGATTTACCACTTTTTCTATTTCAGTTTTTATGCTAATTTATTCGCCGAAAAGGTGTTTAATTAAAGAAGTGGGATTACACTTAAAGCACGTTTGCTTTACGTCTGTAGCTTCGCTCACAGATTGCTCCTGTTAATAATAAAGTGGCCAAAGCGGCACCAGAAACAGATGTGGTTCTGGGAGGCAACAGTCCATTTCCCACTAAACACTGCCTTGTTTTGTTTCTGCATCTGTAACATGTGCACTGAGCACTAAAAAAAAAAAAACTAAACTGTGTGATCACTGCATGCACTGAATAACAAGAGCAAATGATTAAATCACCGTTTTCAACCACAAGAGCTGCAAAGACAGTTTTCTTGAAGGTGTGAAAAGATTAGATTGACGTGACTGATAAGCGCCTTGAAGTGTGAGAACAAAGTTGCTCAGTCGACCCGATATCACTCCGTCATCCTGAGGCAAAGTTTGTTATTTTAATAGTACAGACAGAGTTTGTCAGCCTGCAGTCATCGGTCGTCTCTCTTCATCTTCTCAGCTGTCTCAGCGCTATTTATTCTCAAGCAACTACAAATTGAATGTTTGACTACTTAATGGTCTTATTGACCCGCTAGAATGCAGAAACTGTCAAAAACCGAGCTGCTAGCAGGAAGCTCAAGGCTTCTTCGTGTCATTTCACTGACAAATGAAGAGGCTGCACCTGTGGAGCTCCTCCTCGTGCAAAGGCTTCCAAAGCAACACTTGGTGTGTAAAACGGTATTCTGATGAGCGCTTGCGTGCCTGGTGGCATTCAGCTGCAACCTGGAGATTCAGAGGGAGAACAGCTCGTAATTTGTCAGTAATTTATGACTCTTGGTTAATTTCCTCGCAGAGAAATCACTGTCACATTAAGGTTCACTCCTTAAACCACACCAGGATAAATGGGTCCTGGTCTTTTCTGCTTTATTTATGATGACGAGGAGGACAGTTGATGCAGCGAGCCAGCAGGAGGCACGGACTCACAGGCCCATGGTGAAGGTGGGAATGCGCTGCGATTACAAAGAATGCAGCGGCTATTGATCACGTATAGAGCAACCTTGACCAGGGCAGCGATGCAAAGGTGGAGACCCTGCTGAACGTCTGATGTAGTAAAAAAATAAAACTCCCCACGAGTCAATACATCTGTATCAATAGAAATAAACTCATTGACCACAGTTCTAGCTAAGTGGGAGACTCAGAGAGCACAGACCTCCACCATGGTCCTTGTCCCATCCTGCAGTTTTAAGCAAAGCAGCTCAGATCCACGTGACATGTTGCGGGTTCTTCCTTTGCTTCGTTGCCATGTTTAACTTCACGTCATCGTCTTTCATTTTTAGTGCAACAGAGCTGACAGACCAGCAAGTAGCAATGAAGTACGATCCTGTAACATGGATTAATCATGGAGTCGTGCCTCCCAATTGGACAGTTGCAAAGGTACTTTGAGGTATCTTCTACACTTTAAAAAAAAATCCCAGAAATAAGAGTAAATTTAAAAAAAAAAAACTGTTTAAAACTTTTAAAAAAGGATCTTTTTTTCACTGTGTATTCATATAAGCAGTAAAAGCTGGAAGCTGATAATAATAAGTCTGCGTTCGTCTCCGGGGCACTAACAAACACCTCACTACCGGCAGCTCTCCGAGGCAGGAAATCGAGGCAGACGTGAGGCGGCGCAAACATCTTCTGTTTTCATCGCGGTGTAGGATGTGTAACTCTGATTACAACAAAAACACGGTTCCTTTTATTCTCTCGGAGGTTAAATTGTCAGGAAGCAGACAGCAGTTTTTCACTTCCACTGTGAAGTACCGACGCTTGAAAAGCTGCATTTTTTTTCCACCTTAAAGGGTTCTAAAGTGGTGATTGTTGTGGTCTGAACACGAACAAATGCTCTGAATTCCCTGAAACAGCATGCAGCTTCCAGCAGTGGAAACTCTTGTAATTCTGTTAAATTACACCAATTCAAGTGTAAACACTGGGGGCACAAATGGGCACCATCAGACACACACACACTGACATCATTGCCGCCACCGCTGGGTCGCTGGCAGACGATGAATCCAGGAGCATAAATCTGAATACACCTGCTTCTCCCTACGCCAGAGCAGACTCACACATGACCAGAACATTAAAGGAGTAATACAGTCGTCCATGCAAGACACACAGGTCTGGTTTTACAGATCAATAACAAACTAATAAATAAAGCAGCTATTTTTGAGGGAATCAGAGCGCTGAGTGCATTAAACGGTGACCGACTCAACGTCTGCGCAGAAACAGCAAAAGACGCAGATGAAAATTCCAACAAACAAGTTTCATCAGCAGGTTTCAAAGGCACGTTGTCTTCAAAAACTCTACACCATTTATCAGAGCCATAAAAGTGTGCAAACTCTGCCAGTAAATGTCATCAAGTCTAAGCCTAAAATCGTGACACTTCATCAAAATGACCCTTGCCAGAAATAATCCTTTGGCTCTAACAGGATTGTGTCATAAACTAATAATTCTGTGCTCCTCGGTGCAACAGAGAACTGGGACAAAGAGTCACCAGAGAGAAATTCAGAGACTTATCAGCTGAGTGTCTGCTGTAGTTTTTAGTGTGGCATGTAAGAAAATAAATTGAATTTAAGGAGTAGCATATCTAGAACATCCAGGGTCACTTTTTTTCCCCCTAATATTTGTAACACCTGTGGACACCTGGAAAATGTAAGAAATGCTGATTTCATTTCTAAAAAATGTAAAATAAACAATGAAATAAATTCAACTTTTGATTTTTCTTTAATTCTCACCGATACATTGTATTCTAACTTTGTTATGCTGCACAGAAGACAATGAGCTCTCTCTACTTCTATCTTCTGTTTCCATAGAGGTGCATGAACTTTAGATCACAGTGACAAATGACCTCGCAGTGAATAAAAAATGCGATGAAACTGCTCAGAGTTCAGAGGATTAGACGTGAGTACACAGACAGTGCTTTCAGGGCCTCTAAAGACTTCGAGCTTCAGTTCTTGCAATGAAACTGAGCTGTTGCAAAAGTATCCGAGTGTGTTTGCACAACTGCTGCCAAAACTGATAAAGTGATAGTCTGCTAGTCTGAGCCACCGACCAGACAAATCACATCCTCTCAAGTCAGACCGAAACTATCACCAGCAGATTGAAGCAAACTCATTTGTGTGAACTGCTCAGTGGCTCGTCAGCAAGTCTGTGGATATCAGATGATAGGAAGATGAGGCTATAGATGCTGCACTGTCTAGTCTGAAGAAGAAGTGTGTGTGGCTATTTTACAACAGCTGCCGGTCGTGCAAAACCTAATCAACCACACATTAGATGCTGCGTGCGTACAGCAACAAACACACGCATCCCTCCTGTTGCCTGCAGGTGGCTGCAGGGCTTCACGCTGCGACGGAACAGGCCTCATACCTCCTGTTAGCAACTGTAAAAGCCCAGATGTGTAATTATGTTCAGTCTCCCTAACTGGTGTTACTGGAGTTAAAGGACAGGTTCCCAATTTTCTAGTGTAAAACCACATTATTAAACAAAATAATGAGGCTAGGTGTGAGTTTCGCTATAGCTGACGGCTCCTTAGATGCATCTCGCGCTGGACTTTTCTGCCAACATATAAGATCAAAAGCATCCCTATTTACAGTCATGATCAAAAGTTTCCAAACACTTGTAAAGACCACGTGTATCACGGCAGTCTCGAGTTTCCAGTAACTCCCATACCTCTGAACTGTCCAGAATGAAATCACTGAGACACACGCGTCTTCGTCATAAAAAAAACAATCTCACATTTTGGCCATTTCATAGATTCAATGCAGGTCTTTTAGAAATACGAGAAAATCTGCTGGGTCACAAATATACATACAGCACTGCTAGTATTTGGTTAAAAGTGGCCATTTTCACCTCAGTGAGGCGCTTCTGGTTGTATCTTTGAGCCTCCTCTTGACAGAATTGGTGCAGATGAACTAAATCTGTTGACTTTCTGACAAAAGTCCGCAGGTTCTCCATGATTTTTCAAGTCAGGAACCAAGAATGCGTGATCGTTTTATTGTGTGTTTCAGTGATTCCATCATAGAAAGTTCTGAGTTGTAGGAGTCTCAACACTGCCATGATACATACGGTCATTACAAGAGTAGGGAAACTTTTGTTTTCACTGTATGGAAATCAGGTGAGTCAGAGCTTTGTCCTTTTTTCACTCTTTCAGTTTCATTATTTCTCAAACGATCTTGAAATATACTTCACTCGTTTCAGATGTAGTTGTGAGTAACCTGTGCACACAGACGTTTCATTTTTTGACACTGGGACAAAAAAAAAACAGCTGAAAAACGCCGATGCACAGACACATGCGGATGTTTCTTACCTCCCAGCAGGCAGACTGAGGTGGACAGTTGAATCATACTCTCTGGCTTAAGTCCTCGACGCCACAGTGCTTCAAACTCAGCACGGTGTGTATACAGAAACCACACACAGACTCACTGCTGCAACACTGGTGTCTGAAACTCTTTGGTGTGTGAGTGCACAGGGATGCGCATGGGTCGGCCAGGCTTCAGCTCTTTGCGCCGTTGAGCATCTCTCGAAGAGGCTTTTATGGCTGTTGAAGCTTTCGTAGCTCCGTGCTTTGGACAATCTGAAAACAGGAAATTAACACAAAGAAATCAAATGAGTCAACATACCAGAAAGGAAAACTGGCAACCAATCAAACAGAGGGGGGAAGAAATCTGGCAATCAGCTGGAATGCAAAACTGTTTTGTTGCGCTCATTAACTTAGATCAATAAAAAGGTGTTTATACAAAACGCTTGAGATTGTGGTTGCTGCAAGCAGACAGTGTTGTCTTAAAAGATGAAACCTGCAATATTTCAGTAAAAGAAAAGAAAGACTGACTGTTCATCGGGAAGCATTGCACTGCTGTGATGTGCACAGCGTCTCTACGAGGCTTTACCGCTGCACTGTGACGCTTTGAGCTAAATGCTGACTGCAGCACGCTCACATGACAGAGCTAACGCTGCTAATGCTGATGTTTAGCATCATGTTTACCATCTCAGCTTAGTTAGTGTGTTAGCATATTAGTACGCGCTGATTAGTGCTGAACACGGAGTGCAGCTGCAGTTGGTGGGAAAGAGTTCTGCAGGTACTTCATGTTTTGGACAAACTGAAATCGTGATCTGAGGATTGGGCTCAAAAAGAAGTCAAGGAGGCAACACACGTATTAAAATGTGTTGTAAAACAACAAACTCTGAGATAAACATCCAACAATAAATCAATCAATAAAGGCGACAAAGACTTGAGTAACAATGGAGAGCAGCACTGAGGAATACAAACTGGTTTTGTTCCTGCTTAATGTTCATTTTGGTTAGAAAGAAAGAAAAAAACAGGTCTAAACTTTAGATCAACCTGACATCTGATTGTTTCTGATTCTCACAAACACCTGATTTGCAATCCAGTAACAGTTACTGGTCAATCCTGTCGCTTTATTAAATTCGATCTCCAAGCATTTAATAACCCTCTGAAGCCCAAAACCCACCAGTGATTTAAAAGCATGTTTTTGTTGTTGTTGTTGTTTTTAAATCACCAAAATACAATTATTTATCAGAGCCAGAAACTGCAAAAACAGGAATTTTTTTTTGCATTTTCAGCTTTCTTTCAGTTTCGTCTTGATTAATAATCAACTCTAAGACCAAAATCGTGACATTTCATCAAACTACTTTAAAAGTCTTGTCTAAAAAATTGCCAGAAATAAACGTTTGTTCAAACTAGATTGTAGGAAAATGTAAAGATTCTGCACGTCGTGATACAACACAGCTGCAACCACCAGTGAAATGACAAATATTCAAGGAATATTTGTGTGGAGACAAATTAAACATATAACTAGTAATACATATAGTAAGTATAGAATCACTTTCTTTTCCACCGACCCAGACAGCTGTGATGACGTATTCACTGCAGGAGACACAATGTTGTTTTCTTATCTTTGACAAAGTCGTCTCGGGTCAAAGGACAAGTTGTTTGGTCTCGTCATGCTTCTGCTCATTAGTCACAGCCACTCATTTATCATACTTCAGGTCCTAAGCACATATCATAATTAATGATTGATCAGATTAATATGGTGCTTTTCTAATTCAAAGAGTAACTCAAAGACGCTTCACACTGTCCATTATTCATTCACGCACATTCAGGTGGTGGGAGCTGTAGCCTCAGCTGCCCTGGGGTAGACTGACAGAGGCATGGCCAGGTGGGTGAAGTGTCTTGCCCAAGGACACAGCGACCATGACACAGGGTACAGGGTGGAATCGAACTGCCGACCTTCTGATCATTGACCGACTACCACCTGAGGCACAGTCGCCCCATATAGAGAGTTATTATTGTTAATATTGTTAATCTCAGCAGCATTAGGATGCGAAACACTCTTCTGCTCAGGGTTGTAGTTGGACATATTCAGGGCCGGATGAAAACAGAAACATTGACTTGTTCACACGAGTAATTTATCACTTTAAATAGATGTAAGAACGGCTGTTATTACATTAAATCTTAATGTCTTAATCTTAATAAATTCAACCATATGTTACATGTGGCTATTATATGCTCAACGTCAGATAAATAAACAAGCAATAAGTATGAAGAACTTACAGTAATATGTCTATTTATGACAGTATTTTGAATATTATTATAAAAACTGATGATTATTATTAACCCTCTGACTGCCAAACAGTTTCCTGTGTGTCAGCACAACCATGACGAGAAGATAACGCAAAAACAGAACATGAAATTCTTCTATCTTGTTTTTGCCCACAGCTGTTACCAATAACTGGGGAAATGGGGGGTCTACATACTATAGATATGTTACTGCTTTGTATGCATTTTTAATTTGTTTACATACTAGTCTCCTATCTGCTCTGTGCAAACACTGCCTGCAGTTCAGCACAAAAGTTCCTAACTTTTGGGCTCCAAGTGCCCACGGGTGTTAAAAATATCGACTCTACATGCGATAGATACTTAACTACTTACATTTTGTTAATATCTCAATTAGTGATGCTTGATATTAAAATTTCTGGCCGATACTGATATCCGATATTAAGATTTCTGATATCGCCGATAACCGATATCATCAATGTCGATATTCAATTTTTATTCACACTGAAAAGTAAGCACTGTGAGAACGTGAAAACTATTTAAAATAAGCCCAAATTAGACCACATAGTATACTTTATTACATAGCAAAACTAAAACATATTTAAACGTATTTTAACATATTTAAGTCCAGGACCGTTTAAGTAAAGACATCTGTGAAATAGCATCAATATCAAATGTAGAGACGAAGCCGCTGATGTTAGACAATCATCGGTTTTTCACATCAGCTAGATTTGTTCATTGGCCCGATACGATACATGGGAAAAAACACCAATATCGGCCGATACCGATGTGGTCGCCGAGTAAACACAGCCTGCAGTTCAGCCGAAAAGTCGACAAATTTTTGTCCCAGGGAAAAACAGAATAAAGCGATTTTGATTAAAGCTTTTGAAACCTTTCAAAACAACTCCTCAAACCTCCCAGCCAAGGTTCCTCCTCCGTGTTTTAGTTTAACTTCTTATCTGATAAAGGCATTTTTTTTACAACATCATGTCACTTTTTATTTCACTCTTTCCATCACATCCCACGCTGCTCGAGCTACAGCGAGCTCAACAGCTAACAACTGACGTCTGCAGCAAACATGTAATTCTGAAGTTCAACATCTTTTATCTATTTAGCTTAACGAGTCCGCACATGCTATTTAATGTCATTTAACGGGGCCGTAAGCCGCTTCATTACCCAGTAGCAAATAAAAAGACAGTGTGATTGGCAGCAGAGTTAGTCTGGCAGCATTTTGATTCTAAACATGGACCCTACCAGCTGGCTGTAAACTCGCAGACATGTTTAGTGTAGAAAAGGTCACAAAAATGTGAAACATGCTCATGAAGACGTTAAAGAGCCTCCGCAGATTGCTTGTTTTTTCTTCTGACGGGCAGTTAAAAAGCAGCATATGTTCAGTTTGCAGAGTTGCAGCGGCATGAAATGGAGGAAAAAAAAGCAAATCCGGTTACCAACGACTCAAGTTCAAAACTGACGAACCAGCTAATAGGTACATTTTTTGAGGAACATAATTAGGAATCGTGTTTGACAACCTGTTTGTCTGACAGGTCAGGCTGTCCAGGGGAGGTTGATTTAAAGGTCGGAGGGTCAGTCTCTGGTTTGTTTTACAATGTGATCACCCAGCTAATGACCAAATGGCACGTTTTGCATCAGATGGTCCCGAAAGGGAGAGAAATTTTCAGTAAAGTAGTACAAATTACATGAAATAACAGCAGGATAACTGCCAAAATACTGCAGTAATTCACAACAGTTCAATCGTTACCCATCAAACTACTGTGTCTGTATCATAACACAAAAGGCTTTTATCATTCGGTGCAGGCAGGTTAACAAGCAGTGAACTGAAAAATACTTACAGCAATCACAAAAAACGAATAAAAATGAACCAAAAAGATGTAAAAGTAGAGTTGGGGGAAGTTAAAACCATAAATCCAGTCTCCCCCTGCTAATCCTTTGTTGAATTATATATCCAGGTATAAACTATGACCCCTTCCACTGATATTTCATGTTGCCCGTGACTGTAACTGAAACACGATAGTCACTGTAATTGCCAAATCCCTCGTGCTTCCAGCGGTAAGTCTGCCCTGCATGCAATCAGTTAGGAGTCATGTCACTGTTGACATCTGGTTCTGTTAAGCACAAACTGCTATAATTACATATGTCTGAGAGATGTTTCAAATTAGGACACCGGCAATGAATTATAGCACTCCTGAAGAGTTTTGTCCCCTTTATCGCTTACATGCTTTTTGGTTTTACAGCTCTGAATCACAAAGGATGTTGTATTTGGAACAAGAGAAAAAGACTCTTTCAGGGGAAAATAAAAGTCAGCCTCGTTTTTAGCAGAAGCATCTTTGGGATCAGTTCAAGCCCTGACACTTGGGAGAAGATCTGCTGTCCAAAGAGACAGTGACGCCAAAGTTTCGGTCCGACTACACAGGCGGGGCTGATGATGCAGCTCTGGACTGAAGAGGTGAGAGTCCACGATTCTACAAAATGCGATTTTCTAACAGTTCTGGTATGAATTCATATGAAGCAGTTCTGAATGATTTACTCGAAAAATGCAGTTTCCAGATGTGCAAACTTGCTCAAACCAAAGGCTCAAGCCTGCGATGGCAACCAAAGATACCACAAATACATAAATTACAGGGACTTTGCAGTGATTCTTTCACTTTGACGTCTTTTTCAGCGTCAATGTGCCGACAGATACGCCAGCAGTGACGCTGTGACCTAATTGATAACATCAGCAACACGCTACTACTAGCACAGCGATGACAACGTGATGAAGGACGGCTAAGACTGATGGGAATGTCATTAGTTTCACAGGTATTTAGTTTTTTAAAAAAAGCAAAGAAATGAACAAATTAACCCTTTGAACCCCAAAAAATCTGCAAAATTCTTTTTTTTTTTAGATGATTTTTGTCAGGAAAATGATCTAAATCCAAACTTCTAAACATCAAAACTGTCTCGTGTAAAAAATCACCCAAAATAAACCATTTGCTCTAAAC